CACTGTGTATATAAGTGAGGACACTGAGGAAGATTCCAGTGCTGCAGCCAAGGAGAAAACAGGCTGGAAGGAGTGCTGTGACAGCTGGCTGGCTCAGAGCTTCGGGTAAGTATAACTTTATTATTTTTGCCCCTAGACACACATGAGCACTTAACCCTTGCAGTGCGGGGGGAGCCCCACTGCAGGATTAAGAACAAGTTTTTTTGCAGATTTTCTTTACTTATATAGGTGACCTAATGAAGACAAAAATGTCCAGGATCCATATCTACAGCAAGCGGGACAGGGGGTGGCTTACCTGTGAGAATGCTTTTTAATGTAGATGCTCTTGAAAAATGACAGATAGCTGATTGTTTTCATTTAATTGTTTGCTGTGCTTTCTATACATTACAAGGAAGTTTTTATTCCGGATACAGTATTGTAATATTTTTATGCAGCATACTAGATTATTTTTAAAGTGGGGCTACCCTTGCACTGAAAGGGTAAGTGCTTGTTTTGCCTCTAACGCCCAGTGCAGACCTGAGCGATCTGGGATCCTTCGTACTGGGTTTGCGTGGTCCTGCACAATGCAGACAGCGATTTCCGCACAACCCCATTGATTTTGCGATACTGTTTTAGCTGCGATCCTGTTCGGAATCACGGACGGAATCGCGGCTTTCCGGTCTGGTGCAGTCAGAAGAAATGCTGCATGCGCTATTTTTTTTTTTTTTAACTGCACCGGACCAAAACTCAGGCACTAATGTGCCACACTTTGCGATGAGGGTGAACGCACTGCGGCTGGAGGGCGTAGGTGCGGTGCCATTGACTTCAATGCACCGCCACGCCCCCTCCCGCCCCAAAATAAAGTGAGCCGGCCGGATTGCACTGGGGCTGGTGTGAACTAGCTCTAAGTCTGTGGTCTACTAGGAGTCCCAAATCTTTTTTCATTTCTAATTTCCCCAGAGGAGCTCCTTCTAATGAGCAGCTTGCATAGATACTTTCATCACCCAGATGCAGAACTTTACATTTTTCAATAATAAACCTCATCTGCCATGTACAGTAGTTGCCCACTCCCTTACTTTATCACCCTATGTCTTTTGGTGAGTTTATCACACTACAAATTTTGGTATCGTCATCAAACACTGAAACGGGGCTATTAATAACAAACCTCAATATTGTTAATAAACAGGTTACATAGTATTGGCCCTAAGACAGGGCCCTGGTGCATGCCACTCTCTACCCTAGACCACTTAGAAAATGAGCCATTTTTGGATACTCTTTGTACATGTTCCTAGATTGTAAGCCCTCAGGGGCAGGGCCCTCCTTATCATCTTGTCTTGCATTGTTGTGACTGTAATGTCTTCCTTATATTGTAGAGCGCTGCGCAAACTGTTGGCGCTATATAAATCCTGTATAATAATTATAATCATAAAAATAATGTTCTTGTTCCAATTTTTTACCCATGTACCCATTTGCTCAACGCCCATAGACTGTAGTTTGTAAATGAAGCATTATTGCAAAAAAACACATCCAAGTGTCAATGGGGTTTTATGAGGCGTCAGACTTCAAATTCAAAATTATACAAAATGTATTATCAATTGATAATACATTCTGTACAATTTTGAATTTGAAGTCTGACGCCTCATAAAACCCCATTGACACTTGGATGTGTTTTTTGCAACATACTCTTAATTAGGGGTGAGGTCTCAGACCATCTGGAGATAATGGACCTGTGTCCATTAATTGTGTTTCTTGTAAATGAAGCATTGATGAGGTACTGAACTGAAGTTTGCTGAAATAAGTATCTATATAAATTGAGGTTGCAGCAAAATGGCAGGTTACCCCAAAACCTCCCTTTCCCCCCCTCTAGATAATGTCACAACATTCATTTTTTATTTTACTTTGTTCCCGTATCGAGGAACAGCTTTCTGTACTCACGGTGACATCATTACCAGGCTTGGATAATTCTTGAGATGACTGTTCCTGCTGACATGTCCCTTAGAACTACATCTCCCAACAGCCCTTTCCCTACAAACTGTGTGTGGGCATGTTCTTTGGAGTCAAGGCAGCCACATTGTTTTACAGGGAAAGAGATCAATTCAGGCAGGGCTGACCACACTGCTTGGTATTTCAGTGAAACAGAGGCAGCGTTGTCAGTTTACTACAGAAGTTAGGAGCTCACTGGATTTCTGGTAGGACTAATGGGTATTTTTCAGTGCTTGTGGACAACACATGTGGAAATGTGAATGTATTGCATCATTTAAATTTTTTTATTTTGCCCACACATACACTTTAAAGAAGAACTCCTGGCAAAACTTTTATTAATGCTTGCAGTGGGGCTACTCCCGCAGTGCAAAGGTTAACTGCTAGTTTTGGTCTAGGGAGGAAAATAACAACATTATACTCCCCTGATCTTTGGAGACAGCGCTTCCTCCAGCCTCTATCTTCCTGCAGCGATGGTATGTCTCTCCACGCCCTTGCGTACTACACATGCGGGGGAATTCATCAACACTGGAGCAAACAAAATCTGGAACAGTTGCCCAGCTCAACCAATCATCTTCTCTCTTCAGTTTGTTCAGTTAAGATTTGAAAATGAAAGAAGCTGATTGGTTGTCATGCACAGCCGCTCCAGATTCTGTCTGCTCCAGTTTTGATAAATTCCCCTCACTGTGTATAGAACGTGATGAATTGGGGACCTTAAGACGCTGCAGCGGAGGGGAAGAGAAGTAGGAAGGACTGGTCTAAGTGCAAGCCGGCTCTGAGGATGGGGTGAGCTGGAGTCGGCCTTTAATAATTTTTTATATACATTCACGTGTTATAAAAATAGCACTCACACTGGTTGCTGTGAATTTATTGGATTTCGTCATATTTTCATTTATTTCATGAATGTGTTTCCTTTTGAATGGATTCCAGAAGCTAATCAAGCTTTGTTTCCTTCACTTTGATTGTATAAAACCATCCTAAAAATAGCTATTAATGATCGCCATTATCACAATATCTCAGTCATTTCTTCTAATCGGTGACAGCATGCTTAGCCAATTTCCATTTCAGGACACTATTTGTTTAATGATTTAGCATTTCCTGGGCATTTTGCATTTGCTTGCAGTGAAGGATAAGTAATGTGACGTTTGTGGCCCTGGAAGCCCTGTGTGACACAGCTGTGAAAAACCTATTTCAGGACACTACTTGTTGAGTATCGAGAGCAAGATTTGTTTTTCCTTCTTGTTAATTAGTGGTTTCCTATCCTTCTATTCATTAATTCTCAGACATTTTGTTTTGTTTATTTTATCATTTAAACCTTCATTTGAACTGTGCGATGTGTCTGATTTATTGATGAACCCATACTTTGGCCATATTCACACTTTTGCATTTCAAAAACACTTGTTGATCTGCACTGATGTCTATTTTAATGCATGTTCACCGTCATAAATTTTTTAGCAAAAAACAGGAAAATGTGCAGCAAACTGCATAGCAATGCACAGCAATACACTCCTTAAAGCCCAGCTTTGGGCAGTACAGATGATTACCTTTCGGCTACATTCCCCTGAAGATGCTCCCCTTTAGGCCCCTTTCACACCAGATCCATTAACATCCAGTTTTCAATGGATGCCAAGGCAAGGACGTCTGAAAATGAATGGGTGTGAATGGAAGCAGTTCACATCAGTTCCTTGCGCTGCCCTCTGCTAGAGCAGGTTTTACTTTTTTCAAAGCAACGAACTGCTGTGAACTGCTAATGCAAGTCAATGGAAGGTAGAACCAATACCTTATATAGCTTAGCATATTAGTCACACCAAATCCCCCCCCCCCACCCAAAAAAAACTAAACGCAAAGAATGTCAACAGACTATGCAGACTCAAGCCAACGTACCCCCGTTGACTCACGTTTATGGCTCAGATGTTAACCCCTTTGCAGTAACGGACATGCATAGTACGTCATTGACAGCACGGCCCAATGACCGGATTCTGTCATTTCAACTGCCGCCAGAACACTTATATGGGCCGGTAAAGTGCCTGACCGACACCCCTGCCATGTTTTCCAGGCTCAGCTGCCCTTCCTGCAGGCCCGGGACTGGGATGTCGGGTGATGGCGGGAAGCTGGGCAGGAAAGCACCAAACTTCCGTTCGCTGATCTCCCTGCTCTATGGACCGGGAGCGACACAGATTGCATCACTTCTGGTCCCTGTGCTGTCATTGCTCGGCTCATTTTTAGAGAAGATAATGTTTAACTAATTGTGAACGTGCACCCCAAAATACTTCATAGAAATACACAGGGCGTACGTAGCATGCTCGTCCTTCTCTCCTGCTCAAGTTCCCACCTGCCACATTTGGCAGAAATTGACAGCAGCCGCTGTAAAAAAATTTACATTCTGAACAGTGTTTGTAAATAGAAGCATGATACAAAATAACATTATTACTTTGTATTTACTCTGCTCCATTCATTTGTAGATCTGTATATTATGTTAATAGCAATCTAAGAAGTAAAAAAAAAAAAATCTATTTTTAATAAAAGTTGTTCCTAATTAACTCCTTCTTCCCCTTGTTTTACTATCCTTGTGTTCTGCTTTTAAACATCCTACATTCTTCTTCATTGTTTGGACATGGCTCAGGCTGTTCAGGTGTATCTGTCTGCTGCAGCTTCCATCTGCAAGTCTGACTCCCTCTTTGTTGTTCCTGAGGGTCCACATGTGGGTGGAATAAAGCCGCCATCCCTAGATCCACAATTTACCTATTAGCTAGACCTCAGGTTTAGGCTGTCCACACGACTCTCTCTCTCTTTTAAGGATTTAAGCTACTGAATGTGTCCTTAATGGTCTATTATTTGAAGCAAGTTGTCACAACTTAAAAACTAAAACCTTGCAAACCTAAAAACTAAAACTAAAAACTTGCAGACTAAAAATGACCCTAAAACCATCATAGTTTTACTTTAACAAATGATGAAAAAATTCTCCAGTTTCCCAAAGTATTAGTATCTTTAATAACACCTTTGTAAATGTTTTCTCAGTTTATCATTTCTTTATTTTACAGAGATGTCTGCTCAGCCCTGATATTAAACTTGAAACACTGAAGGAAGATATAAGAGATTTTTTGAAGACCTCTGGTATGTTATCCTTTGAATTTCTCCATATTTAACATTGGAGGCAGAATGTTTAGTTGGTTTGTAGATTCATAGGGGATACCATGTACATAATAATACCAGGATGAAGCACAGGAAAAAGTCCTTCCTTCTGAATGAATCATAGAATACGTAGCCTACATTGTCATTCATTATCAATGTGTTAATTGCATGGTTTTCAGTAGAGCTCTTTAACAATGGTTTTTTTTTTTTTTAAATAATGAGATTTTATTACCGTTTTTCAATACAAAAAGTACATAAATACAAAAGTACAAAATGTACAGAAGTACAAAGTGCAATCACGTCCAAATATCAACACAGAATCTTGGGATGCATTTACATGTCCTCACTGTCCAGATATATATAGCAGATATGTATACATGAGTGCCTGCCATCCAGTAGTCACGTTGGCAGCGGTGTTAGACATCAAGGCATCATCACATTGTGAGGAGCAGTAGCTGTAATTTGAGTACTTTACATTCCCTACCGAAGGCATGGTATGAGGTGAAATGGCCGTGTTGCATCCCGTCAGCCCGGACAACATTAAACGTAGGGAGGAGGCGGTAAAAAGCATACACACAACTCAAGATGGGGTAGGAGAGACATAAGGGGGTGAACAGTAAAGGAGAAACAAAAGGGGGGGAAATTGGAGAAGCGGAGCAAAGTTCAGGCGATAAAGGACGCCAAGATATTTAATAGACGGTTACCATTTAAAGTGAAAATGTTCCTGTAGGTGGGTAACCTCCGTTGAAGGAAGGGAGACGTTTAAGGCCTCGGTTTTATGTAAGTTCACCTTAAAGTTGCTGACGAAGCCAAACCTCCGAAATTCCTCTAGCACGGAGGGGAGAGCAACACGGGGTTGGACAAGTACAGGAGAACATCGTCCGCATAAAGACCCATTTTATAGTGTTGGTTTTGGACACAGACCCCTTGGATCGATGGGTTTTGCCGAATGGCCTCAGCAAGGTGCTCCATGGCCAAGATATACAAATACGTGGACAGTGGGCAACCCTGTCTAGTTCTCCCTGTCCAGGGAGCCGTTTACCCGCACCCGGGCCGTGGGGCAGTGATAGAGGGCCATAACTTTATCCACAAACAATTTTGGTAGTCCAATCTGTTCTAGCGTAAGAGTAAGGAAGTTCCAACTGAGGCGATCAAACGCCTTCTCCGCATCAAACGACAACAGGTACATAGGTAGGCCTGTAGATTTAGCATAGCGCACGAGTTTTAGTGTCTTGACAGTATTGTCTCTGGCCTTGCGGAATGGGACAAAGCCCACCTGCTCCAAGTGGATAAGGGAGGGGACATAGTGACTTAGGCGATTCGCTAGGAGCTTAGCGTATAGCTTAAGATTCACATTGATAAGGGAGATTGGGCGATAATTAGAGCAGAGCGTCAGATCCTTGTCAGCTTTAGCGATAATCGTGATATGTGCTTCTTGCGATTGTCTGGTGAAGGGGCAGTCCCCGGAGATGGCATTAAACGTGAAATGGAGTAGAGGGGCTATTGGGTCTCTAAAGTGTTTGTAGAAAGCACCAGTGAAGCCATCAGGTCCCGGACTCTTCCTGGAGGGAAGTCCCCCAATGTCCCCTGTAACCTCCTCCAGGGAGAAGGGCTCCCCGAGTAGGGTCGCAGCTTCGGCCGGGAGAATCGGGAGAGGGGTGGCCGCGATGTATGAAGCCGCCAGTTCCAGTGGGTTCAAGAGCGGGGAGGAAGCTCCCGGGGCAGGTAAATTATATAGTTCGGCATAGTAGGCCTGGAACGTTTGCGCAATCTGGTCAGTACTGTGAACCACCTGGGCAGTTTTCGTCTGTATTTTAGGGACATAAGTGCGCGTAAGTTGCGTTCGAATGGACCGTGCCAACAGACGCCCGCACTTATCGCCATGTTCATACAAAGATCTGCGCAAGGACTCCCTGTATTTTAGGGAGCTGAGATCTAGGAGGGAGCGGAGATGAGAACGTTTCTGTTCCAATGCTAACAATATGGTGGCAGCTCGGCTCGACTTATGTTGAAGTTCCAGCAAGTGTATTTCGCCTAATAGGGAGGTAAGTTCCACCGAGCGTGCTTTTTTTCAGGCGGGTGGCATGGGAAATAAGGATACCCTTGAGTAGGCATTTGAAGGCTTCCCATTTGACTGGGGGGCGGTATTATCTGTGGCGTGTGTAGGGGGAGGGAAGCCTAAGCCCAGGACCCCAAAGTAAGTAGTAGGCCATGTGCCATCTAGGGGGCGGAGATCCGAAGCCGAAGGCCAGACCACAGAAAACCAGTGATCAGGCCCCCTAGCCTCGTCCCCGAAGTACAGGTGCCACCACAAGGGTCCGCAATATAAATGTCATTTGGTTGCATAGCAATACATCACCCGTAGTACAGTCCTCATTACGGCCCAGTGGCATGAGCAGGGGTGATGTCCCAAATTTCCACGTAGTGGTCCGCTTCCGCAGATGAATAGCTGATAAGGGACAAGAGACGTAGGTAGGTGTAGGTTTGACCACGGGAATGCCACCACAGTGGTCCATCACCTGTAAGGGGTCCGCAAGAAGCATAGCACTCGGGGCGAGTGTCACAGCGGGGCAAGGTCATGCTCTAATTGTCCATTTCCATCCGCCATTGCAGGAGGCACAATGTAAACAAGGTGGAAACAGCGGGGCATCCAGGGACAGGGAAGGGTCATAGGTCAGGGAGGTTCCCAAAGCAGGAAAAGTAGGGTGACAAGATCCTCATGCAGGGTGGAAGTGGTGGCAGTGAGCTGCAATCTTTAAGGCAGGGAACTGCATGAAGTAGGCTCCCTCCTGGACTTCTTAGAGTGAGACACTTCAGTTCACTGGGGAAACGAAGGCACCTCAGGGAGTATGGGAGCCGGGTGATCCAGCCAGGGATCCAGTTCCACAGAGGAGGAGAATCCCAGGGCAGCAGTAAAATCGGCAAGATCAGTCGGGGAGCCCAGGATCACCAGGCGGCCATTCTTTCGCACTGACAGGTGGAAGTGGTAGCCCCACCTGTAGGGGATGTGGCGATCTCGGAGTAGAGTGGTCAGAGGTTGCAGTGCCCTGCGAAGGGCCATGGTGCGGGGCGACCGATCCGGAAAGAAGGTGATAGTTGCACCGTCAAAGTCAAGGGTGCCACGCTCCCGGGCTTTGGCCATGATTTCCTCCTTCAGTTTATAGAAGTGGACCAGGCACAGTACGTGTCTGGGTTGTTTGCGCAGAGGGGTTGCTAAACCCAGGGACCCTGTGTACTCTATCCAGGTCAATAGGCTCTGCCACCCCTCTATTAAGAAGTGTATTAAAGATACCTCGGATTGTAGGTTCCAGGTCTGTTGCGCACGTTGCCTCCGGAAGGCCGCGGATCTGCACGTTGTTCCTCCTGTTCCTTTCCTCTGCATCGTCCATGTCCGTCCACACAGACTGCAATAGTTTATGCTGTGCCAGTGCAGCTGCTTGCAGGGCTGTGATTGCTGTGCGGTGGGCATCCATATGCAGGTCCACAGTGTGCAGCCGGCTATGGACTTCCTTAATCGCCTCATGCAGGCCAGCCACATCTGCCCTGTGTATGTGTTCAAAGCGTGTGAACAGGGCCTCCATGCCCCTCTTAGAGGGGAGATGATCTAGCAGCTGTCTCACATTACCTGTAGAGCTGCCAGGGACAGAGTCCTCGTCAGAGGTGACATCCCGGTCCAGCAGGGCGGGAGACATATCAGTCGGCTGGGAAGAGGGTGAGTCCAGGGTGGCCGGGGAGTCCCCACGAGGCAGCGCCATGCGGCCTGCTAATTCGGCCGATCGCGTCGTCACTGGAGCCGCAAAAAAGTTGTTTATGGCGGCTCTCGGGTTCCGTGAGTGGACCCGCTTGGACCCCTGGGACTTTTACGTTTGGAGCCCATACTGGTAGGAAACGAGGCGGTCAGAGGCACTTTCGCCGCGATGCCCGGTTCTTCTTCAGCGGAGCTAAGGACAAACACGTCCAGCCGCCACCATTGGTAAGCTCTGCCCTCAACGATGGTTTTAAATTGAAATTTCGTGGTGTAAAAAAGTAATTTGTTGATTTTCACACAGTTGAAAGGTACAAACAGGAAACTGTGTACCTTGCACATTCATCTGTTAACTTTCCTGGATATGTTTAGCATTCATGCTTGGTCTCAGGTGTGGGCAAAAAAACAAAAACATGCAATACATCCCTGCAATACATGCACATGTACCTAGGTTTTGTCTTTTAAAAAAATCGCAAATACAAAAATATCCTGATGATGAAATGCGCTCGGCTCCTAACTTGGACTGACTTCACAGTGCTTCCGCTGCACTGAAATTTCAAGCAGTATTGTTAGCCCTGCCTAGTTCTCCTGTAGGGCCCATTCACATAGCTGATCCCAGCACATCTCACCTTACTGTGTTTGAAAAACGTAAGCCATGTCTTACTTTTTGCAGCGCACACCACTATGTTCCTACCGCAACATGGTGTTGTAAATGGGCACCATCCATGCAGTGGCGTCGCTACAGGGGCCCAAGGGGGGGCAATTGCCCCCCTAGGTTATCACCTGCCCCCCCCCGTGTGCCCCCCGCTAACAGTGGCGGCAATCACGGCGCTAGTGCAAGGTAAGAGAAATGGAATCCCTGTTCCCAGCATATAACTGTGCCCGGGACGGTTATCACACAGCTATCTGCTGGGACAGGGGTTCTCCCCGCTGCAGCCTCATAGACTGTCAGCGGTTTCTCCCTACAGGGTGTAATCGGCTGCAGTGATCTGTGTCAGTGGGGACAGATTGCCGATTACAGCCTGTAAGGAGAACCCTCCGACAGTCTGTGAGCTCCCCCCCCCAGTCTACTCACCTCTCTGCGGCGTCTGCGCTCCTCTCCTGCCGCAGCCGTGCGATCGTCTTCATTCCAGCATCTGACCGCAATAGCCAGCCTGCTTTGGCTCTTTTAAATTGCAGTAGCCAATAACAGGTGGACCTTATGGAAAACATCAGGTCCCTCCTCTGCTGATTGACA